TTCTTAATTCTGGTTACACCACACTGGTTTTGTGTCACCAGAATTCAGAACAGTAGGTAATGTCTGTCCATCCATTGTGTTATTTGAGGATTTCAGCTGCAAGGTGAAACATGTGAAGTGATAAATGAACTACAGTAGTAAAAAGACACTCACTGGTGGAACTATACTGTAGTAAAAATCTTTAAATTGCATTTCCAGAAACTTCCAATTGGGAAATGGTATATTTGTTGAAATGAAAACTTTAATGATAGTGGATCACCTCTGAGTAATGCTAGAACTGTCAAGGCATCTTATTTTGCCACCAAAACCCTGAGTTAAAAACAGTGAGGGAAAGAAAGTAATACGAAGTGTTTTAAAAGGAAAGGTAGGTTTGCAAGTACTTTAAACTCGGAGCAATTTTGATGAGTATGTGTTCAGTTGACATGAAATGTTGATGTTCATCAATATGAGATGTTGATGCTTTAGTATTGGCTCCTGTTTGGAACTCAAAACACACACAAGCATTTAAGGATTTGAAAAGAGTTGGCAAGGAATAGAAAACGTTTGGGTACTTCATCAGAATGTGCCAAATAAGAAAGAATACTGCCTTACCTCTTCATGATGTAGCGTTCCAGATCACAGGTTTAGAGGAATAACAGTGAATGTGAGATGGATATTTCCAGTCCAAAATACAAATGTTTAAGTGCACTACAAATGTGCCTTTGTGCACTTGTGTAGTGAGATGGAAACCCACTATTCCTGCTCATCTCCCAACGTATTTTTATGGTGATTTAATGTTTTTGTTAGTCGTTGGTGGGGCTTTCTTTTTGGGTTTCTTGAATTTATTTTGGGTTCAGATTATTTTTTTTCAATAAGAACTACTTTTTCCTGCTTTTAAAGCTGAAAAACGGAAAGAATTTAAACACTTAAAATTCTTGCAGGAAAATGTTGGTACTACAACCAGCAACCCCCATTATATTAAAAATTGGACTTCATTCGTGTCTTGCCTCAGTTTATATTTTTTAAATTAATCTCTGTAAATGTTAGTTTCTCTGGGCTGTTTCTTCCAGTTTGTGCCTTTTTCAAACAGCAAATGGAAACATCTATAACACAGTGTCTAAAATATTTCCCTACTTGTAAGATGATAATACTCAAATATGTTGCTGTCAGTATTTTTTATATATATATGTATTCAGATTTATTCTTCAGATTCTTTTGGACATTAAGATGTTCATGCGAAAATATTTGCTTTATAGAACTCCTTACTTAAAATGAGCAAGTTACGCTTGAAAATCAGTTGATGCCATACTAGTCACAGATACAGATAATTCTCAAGAGAAGACAGTCTCTTTTTGTGTGTTTTTATGTGACATACTTCAAATTTAAGCTACACAAGAAGAAAGAAGTTAGGCTATGTTTTATTTATTCAGTTACATGTTTGTTTACCTGTCCATTTTATGATACTGCATTTAATTGGTAACCTTTTTGTGTATGTGTATTGATTCAGTCATGTTGACCGCATGCTAGAAGAACTGCATGCCATTGATTCATAGAATCCTAGAGTCAGATAGATTGGAAGAGACCTTTAAGATCATCAAGTCCAACCTTTACCCAGGACTGCCGAGTCCACTACTAAACCATGTCACTATGAGCCTCATCTACATGTGTTTTGAACACTTCCAGGGATGGTGTCTCTATCACTTCCTTCTTTTATTCTGAATTTAGATTGTTAAACCACGACATCCAGCTATTTATTTGAGCAACTTTTTAACATTCTAAAAACATAGTCACACTGTAATCTGTAAAATTACATTGAGGAAGACTACCTTTTTAAAGGTGTATAACATTTGATTTGAGGTCAGTGCACAGTTTAATGTATAGAATTAAATGAAGAAGTACTGCGGTTAGTACATCAGCACTGTTTTTGTGAATTTAGAAATAACACAGGAATCTTTTTTTCTTCCTGTGAACAAACCAGCCAAAGGATACTGATGCTAAATGGAAAGGAAAATTTTGCTGTTATCTAATATGCCACAGATTATGTATAGTTGCTGTCTTTAAGAGAATTGATTTTACTTTTGTCATTGGTCAAAGATCAGTGGAAGGTTTTTGGTGTTTTTGCATTGCTTAATAACAGTCTCATTTTAGACTGAAGGAAGATTCCCTGTAAGAATGAGCTTTTTAAAATATGTTTTCCCAATTTAGCCTAATTCAAGGTAGAGTCATTTAAATGGCAACACCTGACCTGAGTCTAGTGGGCCAGGGAGGGTGCTGCTGTGGGAGGTAGCGTTTGCTCAGAGACTGCCTGAGCATTGATCTGCTTGTGGGAGGTAATGAGTCATGAAAAACACCACTTGGTGGTTTTTCCAGTTTACTTTCCTTCTTTCTTCACTCACTAAATAGTCTTTACCCAGACCCATATGTTTCCTCGTGTTTCCCTTCTCTCCCATGCCTTTCACCCCTCATGGAGGGACATGTGTGAGCAAGGGCCTGTAAGGTGCTTAGCTGCTGCCTGGGGCTAACCCACCACAGAGCTCTTCAATGCATAAACATTTCACTCTGTGTGTTTGCGTAATATAACTCTGAATATGGTCCTAGAAGAAACTGCTCATCATTTGTAACTTTGAAATTATCTTAGCATTATACTGGGGATTGTACTTCTCCCAAGCTGGATCTTGAAAAGGAATCTGCTCTACCTGGTGAATGAGGGGAGCATAATTGATCAGGAGAGCTAGACGTGAATTTGGATGGACAAATAATGCTTAAAAACGTTGTATTCATCTTTGTTTTAACTTTCAGTGGCATGGTCTTCTTGGCAGTATATAAGAAATTTCTTAATTGATGCAGTTTAAGCAAAGGTTATGTTGCACTTCAACACTTCTATGACTTCATGCTTCAGTGCCAGCACCTAGTGGTACATAAGCCAGATGGGTGAGTTGATCAGCTGAAAGCTTCACAGCCTCTCTTAACTTGACTTCAGTTACTATTTTTGAGAGAAGTTGTAGAATTTTCAGTTGAAGTAGTTCCATAACTAGTTTGTCATATGCTGTGTGAATCATAGAATTGTTTAGGTTGGAAAAGACCTTTAAGGCCATCGAGTCAAACTGTTAACCCAGGACTGCCAAGTGCTAAACCATGTCCCTAAGCACCACATCTACGCATCTTTTAAATACCTCTGGGAATGGTGACTCAGCGACTTCCCTGGGCAGCCTGTTCCAATGCTTGACAACCCCTGTGGTGAAGAAATTTTTCCTAATATCCAATCTAAGCTTCCCCTGGTGCAACTTGAGGCCGTTTCCTCTTGTCCTATCACTTGTTACTTGGGATAATGGTAGTGGTAGCAGAAGGAAGCAAGAAAAAAGGCAGAAAAAATGTTCCCTTTAATTGGGTGTGGATGAAAACAGCAGCTTAATATCTTGGTGTGCTGTGGTGGAATACTAAGCTACATATGCTAGAGGAAGAAACATCCTTTTGCACGTTAGGTTTATCAATAAACTGTGAGTAACAGATTTATGGCTTATCTGTGCCTTCAGAAAGTGGTTTTAGAGTGCTTTAGAATTGGTCTATCCAGTAAGCCAGTAGTGACAAATGAGTGTCCCTTCCTTGTCCCAGTGCTTTAGGTGTGTGAGCTCCTGATGCTTTGTGCCACATACAGCTGAGAGCTGAGCTGACGCAGGTTCAGGAGAAATTAACGTTTTCTGGTGCTTTATCACAAAATCACCGACTGGCTGTGCAAAAAAGTTACAGGAATGTGTGACTAAGGGTTTGGGGCATAGGGGAATACTACTGTCTAGCAGTATTGCTCTTTTCAGTATGGCTTCTTCAAGCCATACAAGCTTACAGGCTCAGACATCTTGTAAGTTGTCCTCCATTTCCTGGGTGTTTATGAGTGAGGTGATCTGAAGATGATTTGGTTCTGCATCTATGGAATGCGTTTGGTTACATCAGTTTAGTTTCTTCAAAGGGCATGCTGTTGTTCCATGTTGTATGATTTAGTCCTGTTTTCAGGAACTGCTGCTAATTCTCCTCTGCACTGCCATAATTAATAGGACTTCTAGTGGGCTGTTTGCAGGAGGGCCACAGGTAAGCGGTACTGCATTAACTGCTTTCCTTGGTCCTTTTAAAATTTTCGTGCTTTGGATGCAGAACATCTAGAGGTTCAGTGTGAGAGCCTTACTTGGTTGTGCAGCAATCCATCTGCTCTTCCCTCTGCTCTGATCTAGTCATATTTCATCTATTAATAGCGCTATGTCTTTCAGCCTGCTAAACAGGAGATTGGAAGCTTAAGGGGAAGTGATTCTCATCGGTCTCATGCTTAAGTATTTTGTAGATGTAACGTGACAGATCAGATTATTGAAAAAAGCCTTGTAAGAATATGTGTTTCTGTTCTTGTTCAAAGTAAAGATTTTTCCTGAGAGGTGCATGTTACAGCCCTTAAAGCTTTAAGGCAGCACAAGACATGTTAACACATCAGAACAAAAGAAGGAATAGTTACCATTCTCTCTCTTCCTTTGCTAACTCTTTATGAGCCTTGTCTTCACTGTGATAATTAGTAGCTCTAGTTTATGTACTCACACAGATGCCATACTGGGGAGGATTATGAGCAGAGGAAATACTTAAAGAGTTTAATTGTAACTCAGGGTCCTGCCTAACTGTTACAGGAAAAAAGGTAAAAATTCAGCTAGACTTGAGTAATCCAGGTAAGAATCCTTATTTACTAGTTACTGAGCAGAACATACTTTAATAGCTTTTCACAGTTACTACTTTGGAATTATATTTTCTTGAAAGACAATAAGTAGTTAACCTTATCTTCAGCCTTTAAAATAAAAGTTTCATATATCTTTAAGAACTTCTGTCTTTGATAATGAGTTCAGTGATTGACTTCATAATCTTAAGTATACTGAAGACTGTAGGACTAATATCAATCAAAAAGCATAAGCATAGAGATTAAAGGTGTTTATTGAATGTAGACTTTGAGCCTTGGACTTGGTATAACTTTTGCTGTCATATTCTGCTTGTAGGTAAAAAGAACATACTCTCATGGTACGTATAGAGCTGGCCCAATGAGACAGATCAGCCTGGTTGGAGCAGTTGATGAGGAAGTGGGGGATTACTTCCCTGAATTCCTTGATATGTTGGAAGAATCACCTTTCTTAAAAGTAAGAACAGAAGGGAATGGGTTGGGAGAAGGGGGACAATATACTGTCTAGTACTGTTACAATAAAGTGAGAGTATGTAATACTTGCTTAGGTAATAGAGTGGTATAACAAATGTTTTTATTGTGACAGATAAAGGCTGCTTTAAAAAAGTTTTTAAAGTAACTCACTTGAAAATTGTGGCTTGTATTTCCCATTAGTGTACACTGCCATGGGGAACACTTTCTAGCTTAAAATTAGAGAGTCGTAAAGACAGTGATGATGGGCCCATTATGTGGGTACGTCCAGGAGAGCAGATGATCCCTGTGGCTGACATGCCAAAGTCACCTTTCAAAAGGAAGAGGTATGTTGAATGATTTTGCTTGATAAATGTCTGGTCAGTATTCTTTCTCTATAAATCCATTTTATCCCAATCCTTTTACTGCTTGATACTATATCTTAGTATAAATTTCTATAAATTATCATCTCAAAATATACTTTCAAGTTGCTTTGTTTTGTAAGGATGTGAATTTTTCGAAATTGTTTACTGTTTAGCCAAATCTGGTCCTTTTTGGAGCTCCAGTAGGAATTTCAGGAGAAAACTGCAGGGAAATGTGAACAGGTATACAGCTACTGATGTATGCCATGAGACTGCAGTTAATACCCCTGTTCTTAAATGTGAGTGGATGTTTAAAGACCTCAAGGGACAAGGGCTTCTCTCACCTGAAAGGTAACACTTCCAACATTAAATGGCACCTTTAAGCTTTTCGGTGGTACTAGGTATAAGTAGCAGCTTAAGACTAGGGATGTACTCTGCAGAACTTGAATATTATACGTCATGAAAAATTGTGTCTTTGGAGTTCTCTGGTTCAAAATTCAAACATTAAAAGGGAGCATACAAGAAGTGGAAGCAGGGCCAGGTGCATCAGAAGGAGAATAGAGACACTGTCCAACCATAAATGGGATGCTGTTAAAGCCAAAGCCAGTTTGGAGCTGAATTTGGCAGGGGATGTGAAGGGCAACAAGGACTTCTACAGGCAAATGGACAGCAAAAAAAAAGACTAGGAAAATGTAAGGTGTCTGCAGAGTGGCGCAAAGGGTCTGGAGGAAAAGGGGGACACACAAGAGGCCAGGATACTCAGTGCTTTATTTGCCCTTGTCTGACATCTTCATTAATGGCTGGGACAGAATCATAGAATGGTTTAGGTTGGAAAAGACCTTTAGGATCATGAAGTCCAGCACTGCCAAGTCCACCACTAAACCATGTCCCTGAGTGCCACATGTACAGGTCTTTTAGATATCTCCAGGGATGGTGACTCAACCACTTCCTGGGCAGCCTGTTTTAGTGCTTGACAATACTTCTGGTGAATACATTTTTCCTAATATCCAATATACACCTCCTGTGGCACAACTGGAGGCCATTTCCTCTTGTCTTGTTACTTGGGAGAAGAGTCCAACCTCCACCTTGCTACAGCCTCCTTTCGGGTAGTTGTAGAGAGCAATAAGATCCTGCCTGAGCCTTCTCTTCTCCAGGCTGAACAACCCCAGTTCCCTCAGCCGCTCCTCATCAGACATGCTCCAGACTCTTCACCAGTTTCATTGCCCTTCTCTGGACCTGCTCTGGCACCTCAATGTCTGTCTTGGAGTGAGGGGCCCAGAACTGAACACAGGATTTGAAGTGTGACCAGTGCCACTCACCTTCAGCAAGTTTGCAGGTGATACAAAACTGGAAGGAGTGGCTGATAGATCACAGAGTTGTACTGCCGTTGATGGGGACCTTAAGAGGCTGTAGAAATGAGCCAGCTCAGTGGACTGATGAGGTTAACACAGGGCTATGCAAAGCCCTGCTCCGAAAGGAATAACCCCCTGTGCCCGTGCAGGCTGAGGCCCAACTGGCTGGACAGCAGCCCCACAGATAATGACTCAGGGGCCCTGGTGGATGACAGGTTGATCGTTAGTCATCAGTCTGTCTTTGTGGCAAAGCAGGCCAGCAGCTTCCTGGACAGTGTTGACAAGAGCAGTGACAGCAGGTTGAGGAGTACCATGTCCAGTTCTGGGATTGCTGGTCCAAGACAGACATAGGCATACTGGAGCAGGTAAGGTGATGTAAAAGTAGTGCATGGGAGAACACAGCATGAGCCAGCAGTGTGTGCTCGCAGCTCAGAAACTAATGCTGGGCTTCATCAAAAGGAGTGTGACCAGCAGGTTGAGGGAGGTGATTTGAACCCTCTGCTCTTATGCGACCCCGCCCTGGAGTACTCTGTCCAGCCTTGGACCCCCAAAATAAGAAGGACATGGATGTGCTCGAGTGGGTCCACAGGAAAGCCGCAAAGATGATCAGAAGGCTGAAGCACCTCTCCTATGGAGACAGGCTGAGAGTTAGGCTTGTTCAGCCTGGAGGAGGCTCCAGGGAGACCTTAGAGCAGCCTTCCAGTACCTAAAAGGGGCCACCAAGGAATCTGGTGAGGGGTTTCCTGTGGCAACAGGTAGGGACAGGACAAGGGTAATGGCTTTCAACTGAAGGAGGGTAGGTTTACATTAGATGTTAAGAAGTTCTTCCCTGTGAGGGTGGTGAGGCCCTGCACAGGTTGCCCAGAGAAGCTGTGGCTGCCCCATTCCTGGCAGTGTTCAAGGCCAGGTTGAATGGGGCTTGGAGCAACCTGGTCTAGTGGAAGGTGTCCCTGCCCCTGGCAGGGTATTTGGAACTAGATAAAGATCCCTTCCAACTCAACCCATTTTATGATAACTGGAATTTACCCCTGAGAAAAGAAGGCTTTGAAGGATCATACCAGTGTGTATAAGCATCTGATGAGAAATTGTAAGAAGGGCTTTTTTCAGCAATGCCCAGTAACGCAGTCAGAGGTAATGGGCACAAACTGAATTTCAAGAAATTCCATTTAAAATAAGAAGAAAAAAAAAAAAAGGAGTTTACTGTATGAATCGTTGAGCACTAGGATAGGTTGCCCAGGGAGCTTCTGGTGTCTTTGTTGTTGATGTTGCTCAAAACTTGGCTGGACGTGGTCTTGAGCAACCTGCTCTAGTTGAATGGGTGAAGTTGGACTACAGAGTCTCCAGATGTCCTTTCCAACCTTGGCTATGTTAATGATTATAAACAGCTCTTGGAAGAGTGCAGCACACAATGTTGGCTCCAGCTGCCCAAGAAAATGATGCTGTGGCTCTGATCCCACTTTGCAGCATGCCCTTCACTTCCATTAAACCCTGAAGAAATAACTTTTTGCTGTTCCTCACTCCCAGTTCTGCAACATGGAACTTAATATCCATACGCATTTCCCAGCAGTTTGGTAGAAACATGAATGATGAAGAAAGACTTCAGGGGGAATTGAAATGCGTATCTCCTAGTCAAGAAGCAGCAGAGGCCAGCAGTTCTCTGCCAGAGGCTGTGCTCACAGTAGAGCCTGGTCTTACAGTGCCTGAGAGAGGCAGGTAGGGCAGATGTGGGGCTTGGGGACCAAGTTCAGTCCAGCCTTCAGTGAGTGCATCAGGGAAGAGTGTGGTGATGGGGCAGGTCTGGTGATGGGAAGTCAAACCAGGAAGTCAGTCTGCCAGTGAGGATCAGGTCCAGTGATGGCCAGAGAGCTCTGTCATGGCAAAGGTGTCCTGAGGTGGGAAGCAAGTCTGTGGCACAGCATGTCTGTGGCTAAGGTCCAGATAGGTGCTCCTGCAGTATGGCTTAAATAGAGCTCCTGGTCTCTGTGGCTGGGTTGGTAGGTGGAGACTGCAGGTGGGGTTGCTCTGTCATTGGGGTCTTTTAGAGCACTCAGGGCCTGACACTGTGGTGGTGTTGTGCTATTTTTGTTTGGGGTTTTCTTCTTTAATTGCATAGGTATTCTGATTTTTTGCATAGCTCATTACGTTTGGAATTTGTCCTGAGTGTTACTGTCTTATTCATTTGACTGTATGTTCTCACTGAAGGGAGAAAACTAATCCTGTTGGCTGTGGTAGACATTAGGTAACTAAGAGCTATTTCTATATTACTAATGCTGTTTTTCTAATACAGAACTACCAATGAAATAAAAAACTTGCAGTACCTACCTCGAACCAGTGAACCCCGTGAAATGCTATTTGAAGACCGGACACGAGCCCATGCAGATCACATAGGACAAGGTTTTGAACGACAGACTACAGCTGCTGTGGGAGTGTTGAAGGCTGTGCACTGTGGAGAGTGGTAAGCGGTGATTGACTTCCACTTGAGGTGTTTGAAAAATATCTGTCTCAGTTTCCATTTATAATTGGTGGAAGGAACAGGTAATCTAGTATTAGGGATTTAATGAAGATTTAGTAGATACCAGACTTCTTTTCTTACTCCTATCTCTGTGCACTAGATGTGATTGTCTGCCCACTGCTAGACTGCATACAGCATTGCTGTGAGGTTGAAAGGAGAAAGGTGCCTTGCAGTGACAGTTTACAGCTATAATAGGGTTGCTGTAACAGAGTTAATGTTAGGTGTAAAAACGCATCACACCTTGTTTTGCTTTAAGTAGTGCATAAGGACTAACTCAAGTTTCTGCCTCAGAGGTGCACAGGAAGACCTTGGGGCAGTTCTTTGTGTTGTCTGGAAATGAGCAGAATTTTTATGCTGCTGCTTCAAAGTCATGGCTGTTACAATCCTGATTTATTTATGAATAAGGAATAATCCTGTTGGAGGTTATATGATACTCTTTGGTGTCTGTCTTTGGAATTCCCAAATGAGATTCAGGAAGTGAATGTATCTTATTTGAAGCTGTTTACTTTTTAGTCAAATAAAAAGCCCATAATCATATGGGCTTCCTGGCCCAGATCTAAGAAGCATTTTTCAGGATCTTCTGGCCTAGGTTTGGGAGAATGACCTTAGTTCTGAAGGTTACCTTTGCATATGTGAACAGTAGAAACACCTTTTGCTGTTTGTCTAGAGATTAGAAGAGTGAATTCCCTTTGGATGCAAAGATGCAAATTTGTGTTACTTGCCATGAGTTCATGGAAATATAAAATGGAATAATTGCTGTTGGGGAATAACTGGATTGTTAGATGTTAGTGTGTTTGATATTTGGGCTCTGAGATTTGGAGCTGTGTTCTTCTTCAGGTTGATGATAGCTGGAGCCTTAACTTCCTGGTTGCTCTGACTGTGAGAAACTGGAGTGAATTAAGAGTAAGTAGGGGCAGCAGGGCAAGAGCTGAGATTCTGTGTAATCTGAGTATTTTGATACCCTTTGCACATATGAGAAAGACTCAAAGCTTTATCTAAAGAAGGAAAAAAAACCCAACAAACCAAACAAAATGCCACTCCCCAAACTTGCATGCCTGTGGAAATTAATAGCAGTTTAAATTGATAGTAATTCAGATGTTAGTGAGAACTGCCCATTCTCATCCTAAACCTTCATCTCAAGATTCCAGTGCTGCACTGCATTGGAATGTGGTAAACACTGGTGCCGTGATCATGCTGATTACCTAATGCCTTAGTGTATCACTTTTGCAGTGATACCAAGTATGCTTTAGAACTCATGAAATGCCAGTGAAATTTTAAATCGGGGAAACTTCGAAGATTTTTTACATGGAAATGTGTATGGGTTGTGACAGGGACAGCAAAAGGCACTTCATAGCATTGCTACTGGCAAAATGAAACCCCTGTGTCCTGTGCTTCAGCAAGCAGCTTTCAAGCTGGTGTTCCAGAGTGTGAAGTTGTTAGTACTTCTCTGTAGATCACAGGAATTTCTTATATACTGCCAGACTTGTTATATACTGCCAGATTTGATGCATTAGGTTAGAAATGTTTGTGGTTAAACCTGTAGTCTTGAATGTGTTTTGAAAAGTTACAGCAAGAAGAGTCCAGTCCTTTTAAAGAATGAGGTTAAGGTAAAAAATGGTCATAAATAGTTGCAGCAGTGCTCTAAAAGGAGTTTTCTGATGTCATCTTATAGTTCTGTTTGGATTTAATGAGGTTTTGGACATGGAACTGAGCTATTCTGCTACTGCTTTGCTTGGGGTGGGGAGCACAACACCCTTTAAACTTAAGGTTTTACAGAATATAATCTCAAAGTTGTGCTAAATACCAAATCTGCAAATGCAGGATTCAAAATTATGTCAAAAATGTTTTCTCTGTTACATTTACAAAAGGCATGTCATGTTTTGTGACAGAATTGCAACACAGTTGGTAACCCATGCTGTTGTACGTATATATAGGGACTGAAAAAGGAATGATTTAAAACCAGTCATTAACTATACTTTGTCCTGTGTAATGTGTAAAACGCAGTAGACGCTGCTGTGAAAACACTGCTTTGGACTGAATTTCTTTTAGTATGCAGATATTAATAGAATCACAGAATGGTTTAGGTTGAAAGGAGCTGTAAAAACCATCCAGTTCCAATCCCCCTGCCGTGGGCATGGACACCTTCAACTAACTGTAACAGGTTGCTCCAAGCCCCATCCAACCTGGCCTTGATATTCTCTGTATTTATTTTAATTCTTAACTTCATTCACAAATACGGTCAACTCCAGAGGCAGATGTGTTAAGAAAAACCCCCAAAACAAACCCAACCAACAAACCCAAACAGATCTGCATTATAAAAAGAAGATGAATGTAGCTGCTACATTTTACACCACCGATCAGAGATGTTTCTGTAAGCTTTTTGCTTTCAGTGCTTGAATCCTCTTCAGGAGCAGATAGACCAAAATATAGAGAGTCATTTTAATCTCTGTAAAACTGAAAGTAAAATATGTGGTTTGCACACTCTCCCTAGCATACTTTCAGTAGTTGATCTGGGACTCTAAAAATAGCCTCAGACTGGTTATTTTTTGCTTTATTGAGGTCATGACCCAAATAAAATAAACATGTCTCTTCAAAAACCCAATAAACTGCACATCATTGCCTGCTTTGTGGAACATTAATAACCCTGCATGTATGTATATAAAAATACAAAGATCGATTATCGTCTTGCTTTTATAAGAGTGCTGGGACATCCATTAACAAATGCTGAAATGCATTGAGCTGTTCTGCTGTGTCAGCTCCTGCCCCAGGCCCAGCAGATCTGAGGCTGTGGCCCTGTGTGGCAGGGTGGAGGTGGCAGAGGGGTGCAGGGCAAGGGGTCGGCTGTCCCTAGGCTGTGTGCAGGAGTTGGGGGGACCCCAGTGGCTCATGGTTCCTTTCAGCACAGCCTGAGTGCAGTTCTGAAGTTGGTGTACTCCCGTCAGCCTGAGTAGGACTCAGCACTGGATGGAGGAGGAAAGTCATCAGGCTCTTTTTGGCTGATAAATTTCCTTTGCAAACCCACTCCAACATGAGCTTTATCCTATATAAATGGAATCTTTATATCACCACATTTTTAAAAAACCTTAAAACCTAAACATCCCTCAGAAATACACACATCGAGCTTAGTTTTATGTATTTCCATTGAAGAAGTGAGTTTGGCTTTTAGATCAGAAAGTGGTAAGGGTCGTAGCTGGTTTTGCCTTTTGTTAGCTAATTCTAGGTAATGTCTCTGGAGGAACAATATAAATGTTGGGCATTTCTGTGGGGGAGATGTAGGACAAGAGGTGAATTCTCCTACAGTTTGAATATGGAAAATAACCCTAATTCAGATTTTGCTCTTCTGTAGCTCTCTAGTGAGCACAAATAGGATTGTATTCTTTAGGGATGTTTTGTAGAGGATGCCAGCGTTTGTTGTGTACTTGCGTTGTGGCAGCCTAGTGTAGATACAGCCTTACTGCTAACTCTGAACAAAGTGTCTGAGGTAAAGATAACTAAGCAACGGTTGCCACAGTACTAGTCAGACTGCTGCATATTTTGAGGTACCTGATGGTTATATCATGTTAGAGTGGTGGTAGAGTAAGCCCAGTGTATCTGAAGCATCTGTCTTTCTGCCTCAAGACAGACAGAGGTCAGTTGAAAATAAAAACTAAACGTAGTGAGTCTTGTTGACCTTTCATTGCTGCTTTTACTGCACTTGTAAAGAAATTGTGGTTACTTTGTTTAACCAGTTTAATGAGGTTGTGTTTGGGAATCAGCCTTTTTAGACAATCTTTTTTCCTTCAAAATGTAGGCTGTGTTCTTTTTATCATTTGCTTATCTTTGCAGATTTTCTTCGTTACTCTCTGTAGTGTGTTAGTTTCAGGCTCTGACTGTGGAATTCTTACTCTTCTGTAGGTCTGAGCAGCCTCGTATAACCAAAGATGTAATTTGTTTTCATGCTGAAGACTTCTTGGAGGTAGTTCAGCGAATGCAATTAGATTTGCATGAGCCTCCGCTTTCACAGGTAAGCATGCTCGCCACTGCTGACCAGGTATCCTGTGAGGCTAAATCAGAGTTTTCACCCCTTTTTTTCCTTCCTTTCTTTGTTCCTCCAGTGTGTCCAGTGGGTTGATGATGCAAAACTCAATCAGCTGCGAAGGGAAGGCATCCGATACGCCAGAATTCAGTTATTCGATAATGACATTTATTTTATCCCAAGGAATGTCGTGCACCAGTTCAAGACAGTTTCAGCTGTGTGCAGTTTGGCTTGGCACATCCGGCTCAAGCTGTACCATTCAGAGGAAGAACTCTCTCAAAATACGAGTGCTGTTGAAGCAGGGACCTCTGCAGACCCCAAGTCTTCGGTTATTGGACTTCAAACTGACAGCAGAATTTGTACAATGAGCAAAAATACCTCCGAAGACTCCAAATTCTCAGCTGCTCTCCAGACAAAGTACCTGCAGCAGGAATTCATGCCGATAAAACATGAACCTATTGCCTCTCACCGAATAAAGGAAGAACCCATGGATGTCGACCTGCCTGAAAAGACAGTGGCACCCAATGACGCTGGGGGCCAGACCGTTCAGACTAGGTTGGATCACATTGAACTGACGGCATTTAAGTTGGAAACGGATTCTAAATTTGAACCTGGCAGCAAGGACTTACAAGGCAAGTTATGCTCTGGAGGTCACATACATCCAGATGATACAAGACAGCATAGTTCATCATATCCAAAACTGCATGGACAAAGAGAGGATGATTTTTTGTGCTAAATTTGTATATATGGTTTTAAATTCCTTTTTAAACTTAATGATTCATAAATTCTGTGAGGCAAGTTTGTGACTTGCCTTCGCATCTGTTACAGAAAATAGTTATGTAGCTTTGTAACATTCCTCAGTGCCTGTCCATAACTGTGAAGTATCAAAGCACTTAGGGCCAGATGCACTGTAAACACTGCAGGTTTAACATACAGAAGTCTTTAAATAATTTTGAGTTGTAGGTTTTAGAGTAGAGCTGACATTTAACATATATATTTTTTGTAAGATGAGCCAGAATTCTTTTTGACAATTCCAGGCTTTTCCATAGAGCTTATTTATACCAATTTTTTCATTTTAAATGTGTCAGCACTGTAGTGTAAATATCTTTTTTAAAGATCTTTTTAGTGTGATTTATACTGAAATGTGAGCCGCTTAATAAAGGTTCATAACAACAGATTGGTTTTATTTTTGGGTCTGCAAAAAACAATTCAGTTCAACTGCCTCTCTAAATGGTTATGTTTCTACCTGCACTAATGCATAGGATGCCCTCACGCTGCTGTGGGGTGAGGAGCTGTAGCAAACTGAGGTAGAGCTGAGGCATTCTCCATAAATTGAGGTTAGTCAGAACACAAAACCAGTCCTTCCTTCACATGGGCTCAGTGAGGCACTCCCCAGACTCCTGCATCAGATGTTAATGTGGAACAGAGATAAGACCTTCCCTGTTGTGAGGACAGTTGGACACCCCATGGGCTCCGGGACCTGCGTGCACCTCTCTAGAGGAGCTGGTGCAAGGGAGCAAGCTCCCTTCTGTGCCTGCCTCTTTGCCCGGCTCCAGCCGCAGTTAAGGCAGCTCCATTTCACATTTAAAACTTAAAAACAACATCCCCCTTCAAATAATTAATTTGACTAAAATTAAACCAACAAAGATTATTTAAATGGTTACTCACCAAGCTGTAAAGGCTTCAGTCTTTAGTAGTGACCTGTAATTCCTGGAGACACATTTGGATTTGAATTGCTCCCTGTGCTGATACCACCAGGCAGTACGCATAGTTGCCAATATGTCCAGTAGGAGGATTCCTCTCAAGTCCCAGTCTGGAAGCAAGAGTTGTTTAATGAATAAAGTAAACAGTGATGTCCACATTAAAACTGTTTTCCTCTCTCCCCACCTGTGGGACACTTGAGTTCTCTTAAGCTGTGTTCTGAGGGAAGAGGATTTCAAGGGTAGCTAGCATCTGGTGTAGTAATGGCAAAACCTCTGTAATTTAACTTATTTAATTCTTTGTGTAACATATTAGTGTATAGCTCAGACACATCTGAATGATACTTCTTTTTCAGGTAGCTACGAATAGCAGTAAACTGCCCTACAGCCTGTCCTTCAACTAAGTATGTAAAGCTGAAGATCCTAGGCCTGTGGTTATTTCCAGTGCCCTCTCAGCTCTGATATTTTATTTTTGGTTTAATTTATTTTTCCTCTAGCTCTCTAAAAGCTGTACAACCTTTACCTACCCAGGTTATAACCTTTGATGCACTTGGTTATCACTTTGGGTTCATTTGTAGCAATAGAACAATGTGATTTCCAGGTGATACCTAATTCAACTACCTAAGGCCCTTTTGTTGCAAACATTTTGGTTCTAGGTTGTTAAACTTCAAAGTGTTGCTGTGTACTTAGGCCTGGCACTAAAATCAGCCATTTGACACATGAGTGCCCTGATCTGTTTAAATCTAAAATAGGTCTGTCAAGGAATTATTAATTAAATCATTTTTTGAATTGCTAAATGTTACTCCTCCATAGCCATAATTACATATTAGAGAAGCAATAGCAACATGAATCTCTCTGATGTGGCTCATAGGTCCTTAAGTCTCACTGCTCATTTCTTTACTACTGGCTAAGAGATGAGTACCAGTTTTGCAGCCTCAGGGATCTTGCTTTCCCCTCACACTATGAGCAAACGGTTCATGTGTGACATGGCAAGTTATTACTCGAGCAGATTCTGATTTGAAAAATTCACTGGTTCAAGAGTTTGAGCCTTCCTGATAGTAGAAACATGGGCTCAGCTCCCTCTGTGTTTTGTGGATTATCTGGAAGCTTCCACCCATAATCTCTTTGGTTTAATGAACATCCATACACAGTTACGTAGCTTTCTGTTCCTCTTCTCTGTGCCAGCCATTGGAGAGCCGTGAGAGAGGAGAGCTGCAGGTTGTAGTTTACACTGAGTGGGATAGCCGAAGGCTCCATCTTTATCGAAACCAGCCTTGCCAGATACTGCTTCAACACCCCAACAACAAAACCTTATTTAGTTTACTTAAAATCTTCCCTGTGATTTTACGCTATTGTTCATTCTGATTCAAGTCCTTTTTTAGATGTCAGATTTTAGTGAAGTGTGCCCACCTCTGACAGCAGCTTTCTGCATCACACACCCTGCCCAGACTGAAAATCAAATCCATCTTTGAAAATGGTTTAGCAAACCCAGTTTTATACTTGAGAGCAGAACTTTTTTTCCTTTCGAAGACCCATTTCGTGGTCTTGGCCAGTGATGGCCTCGAGCTTCTGCTCAGGTATGGCTTGGTTCTTCCTTTTTATCACTTTTAGAATCTTAAGATTAAACCAGAGGGATTTCAGATTCACACAAAAGTGGAAGCTTTTCCATTTTCTGTGCATCCTCTGTGATTTTTGAGACAGGCCAGAGCCTCATTTTTAAACAGAATTCCTTGCAGACAATATCCAGAGGGACCTTGACACACTTGTGAGGTGGGCTGATGCCAACCTCATGAGGTTTAACCATGCCAAGTGCAAGGTCCTACACCTGGGTCGGAGCAATCCCAAGCACAGCTACAGGTTGGGCAGTGAAGAGATTCAGAGCAGCCCTGTGGAGAAGGACTTGGGGGTGTTGGTCGATGAGAAAATGAACATGAGCCGGCTTCAGTGTATGCTTGCAGCCCAGAAAGCCAACTGTATCCTGGGCTGCATCAAAAGGAGCTTAACCAGCAGGTCGAAGGAGGTGATCCTGCCCCTCTACTCTGCTCTCGTGAGACCTCACCTGGAGTATTGTGTGCAGTTCTGGTGTCCTCAACATAAAAAGGACATGGAACTGCTGGAACAAGTCCAGAGAAGGGTCACAAGGATGATCAGGGGACTGGAGCACCTCCCGTATGAAGACAGGCTGAGAAAGTTGGGGCTGTTCAGCCTGGAGAAGAGAAGGCTGCGTGGAGACCTCCTAGCAGCCTTTCAGTATCTGAAGGGGGCCTATAGGGATGCTGGGGAGGGACTCTTCATTAGGGGCTGTAGTGATAGGACAAGGGGTAACGGGTTAAAACTTAAACAGGGGAAGTTTAGGTTGGATATAAGGAGGAAGCCCTTTCCTGTTAGAGTGGTGAGGCACTGGGAGGTTGTGAATGCTCCATCCCTGGCAGTGTTCAAGACCAGGTTGGACGAGGCCTTGGGTGATATGGTTTAGTGTGAGGTGTCCCTGCCCATGGCAGGGGGGTTGGAACTTGATGATCTTAAGGTCCTTTCCAACCCTAACTATTCTGTGATTCTATGAACGATACGGGCAGAATTACCAGTATCTCTCAGAACTCCCTCTGTACTCCAAGACATCATCAGTCTGGGCTGACTGGCTGTGTCAGGGTGTGATGCTTACTTTGCTTGTTTGGGAAAAAAAAAGAGATTAAAATTAGAGCATTTTTTGTCCTCTGCCTGTGTTATGTTTGTTCTGCTGTGGTTCTCGTTCAGAGGGGAGCACCTTTCATGAGGGTTTCAGCTCCCAAATTGTTCATTAGTTAGCCAAAGGTCTCGCTTTGGTTTCCAGCGGTCCCTTCCTGCCGTGTGCAACTTCGTATTCACACTTTTGCTTCAGCAATAAATCTTTCATGTTCCTGATGTACTGAAACTAGTCTTTGCTTATTGCTTTTTCCCCCCTCCCTGGATTTCAGCTCTTATCTGACCCTTCCTGTTAGTTGGGCTGAAGTCTCCAGTATTGTAGTTGTGTCTCTTGTTGTTCTGCAGACTGGAAAGCTCTGCTCAAGGCCGATGCCGGCCCTGCCCGGTACCGACATGGTGTATTCTCAGCCCTGTTCCATCACCCATGTGGTGTGCAGAAGCGTAGCCTTGTTCTCCTAGATACTGGTACCGTGCTTGTGGTAGCAAAGAGTTGCATTGTACTGTCACTACCGGTAGCTTTCAAGGTGGTAGCTTGTTTTTTTTTTCCTTTGTTTTTTAAGTTACTGGATCTTTTGCATTTCGCTGGCAACTGACTTCATGTGTTATATACAAGTGTTACTCAGTGTTGTGTCACCCCCCCCCGCCTTCCCCGATGCCTGCAAATTGGCTCTGAAACAGCATTTTCCTTACAGGTACTGCCGGCATGCAGACTTTCCCTTCCTTGTTACTATAGTGAATATTTCAATACTTCTTTAACTGAGATATTAATTCTATCTAGTATTAGAAATAAAGTATTATTTCAGAGGGTGAAGATTTGAGTATTAATCTGTGAAAGAATTCCTTGGTGATAAATAAAATTGATTTTTAAGCAGATACACATATGCACAGTAAATGAGTTGCTATTGCAAATTACATAGGAAACGGAAACGTGAAATAGTGGAATGCTGTGAAACAGATCTGAATATTGCAGATTTGGAAAATTGAATAAGTCTTCCAAGAAACACAGGACTCTGGTACTCACTGTTCAGAATGACTGTTCTCTCATATGTGCATGTGACTGAGGAAGCTGAATTGACTGAAATAAATCCATGTTTTCTCCATGCTGATTGGCAAAGTACAGTGTTGTGAAATGGTGGACTACCACCAGACCCCACCCGGATGAAAACTGTACAGCTGTGATCAAGAGAGAAAAGGACTTTGGGGGCTTCTCAAGCTGTGTGGAGAACCTTGTCTTTAGGTGCATGTGCACAAGCTGGAAAGGGGAAGGCTGGATTTCCCCCGACCCCTGCTTCGCTGTGAACGACGCTGACGGGAATGTTTTCTCTGGTTGTGAGTCACTGTGTCCCACTGGTATTTAATTCCTTTCCCAAATGGATGAAATGCACTTTAAAAACTGTGTAATAGGTGATACTGATATTTTGTGCAGATCCCACTGAATTTGCAGCATATATGGGAGAATTTGGGAAACTGATTCCCGTAACTCATTTCATTACTCTTAGAAATGCACATTCAGTGTTCTGTGCAGAAGCTCTGATTAACTTCACCGTTTCTGGGTTTCCATTTGGATTAGAATCATCAGGGATACTGACTTTGCAGATTTGGTGTATTATATTCCAACCGCTGTTTTGCTCTGTGCCATGATGCTCGTATTTCCTTTGCCTTGGAGCTATGCTGTACTCCAGTGCTGGCTAAACACCAATCTCCTTGTGTCCTGGTCATGCTGATAGATGAGCCTACTGATGAGGGTGTTAGTACTAAATAGTCCTTTAATATTTGGTGTACAGTTATGATAATCTGATACAAACATTGATTAAAGCAGCAGTTTAAAATTCTATTTTCATCAAGTTTGATTTTTCAGTAACTTTTATATTTTCTTTCACCTGTTAATTTCCAGCTCACTGCTATGTAAGTTGCAATGTTTGGTGCAGCTTAGGCCTCTGTTTTAAAGATGATACTTTCTGTGGCAGTTTTATTCTGGTTGTGTTGAGACAAAACAGGGCAGTTGGTTGAGAAAGCTGTTCCCCAGGTATTTCAAGAGAATGAGATCTGTGTGCGGAAGACTAGTGTAACCAAGTCAAAACTGCTAAAGCTGTATTCTGAGTGTGCAGGGACACTCAGGGACTTGTCTGTCTAGTCAATGCAGCGACAGCTTTTGTAATCACAGAAATGAATTATTTAGACTAAAAAGCATAATTGAGAAGTGATTTCTTTACAAACTTCATAAGTAACACTGAGATAAAAACTCATACTGATAAACTCAGCTTGGGGTCTCATTTATTCTTTGTTTCTTGCACTCACGCTGCTGTTCTGTGCTGCCTTAACTTCTCTTATGCTTGCCTGCTTGTGACTTTGGCTTTGTTGGAAAAGGCAGACTGAAGGAAACAGCTGGACTGAGTTGCAGATTCTTTACTCTTCATCCACCTTCCGTACAAGCCCGAGGAGAAAATGTTGAACTGATAGTGGATGGCACTGTAGAGGTCCAGCTGCAGGGGTTCCTTACGTTGCCTTAGGCTGCATAGCCCAGTGCTTTCAGCAGTGAGTCTATAGCTGGGCCTGTCCAGGTCTGAAGGATCACATGGAAGACTAACTGCATCCAAACCTAAAAACCATAAAGGTACAATGAAAGGGTACAAACATTATTTTTTCCAGTTCAGCAGAGTTATTTTTACCTCAATCTCAGTTAAAAAGTGTTATGTGTTACATGCTCATGCTTTGCTTTCTGTGCTAATAAATGCAAAGAACTTATTTCTGAGGATGCAGTTATTCAGGAGCTTTGTTACTGCAAAGCTATGGTATTTGTTCCCAAAAGACAGTGGTGTTAAAATAGGTAACACTGGATGTTGGTTCAGTTCTGGGTGTCTGGGAGTCTCATGAAAGTCACTTTGATCAGAACCTTTGTGTCACCCAACTTCGAAACTGAGTAAACACGGAAACTTCCACGAGGTCACTCCAAGGTTTTGTTTCTGTACTACTGTGTGTATGTCAGACAATAACACTGCTTCCGTCTCTTACTTAGTCCTGTGCTGGCCTATCTTGTAACACTGTCACCTGTGCCGAGCAGTGCATTTGGGGTGTCTGTACATATGTCTCTGGTACATTCAGGTTCAAGGTGGGGATGTGTATGTCATGTAATGGTATTTTTCAAGTAGAAAAAGAACAGAAAACCTGTTCTTGATTTGTCCCGTTCTAAAATGGTGACAAATCAAGAACAGCCATGTAAATAGGTAATTGAACATTTAAGTTTCTTGACCTTTCACACATGTGCATTGATTATTTTCCTTTATCAGACAGAAGTAGATACTCTCCTACAAAGTATGCTGCAGTGTTCCAGCTTCTATAAATGATTTGAAGGAAAATGGTGCAGAACATAAATCTCCATATACAATATGTATATCATCTTTCTATATATATGATGTGTATAATATATATAACAGCACTACACAGTAAATACTTGCAGTCTCATTTCAGAACTGCAAGCTCTGAAGTGCAGTGTCAAGCGCAGCTGCTGAAGGCAGAGCAATCCCTCCACACCCCGCATCAGCTGCCACAAATACCTGGGGTGAGTGTTCATCCGGGTGCTGGTACTTGGGCTGTAGTTCCCTTCTGCCTGTGTCTCACAAGTCAGGGTGAACCACTGGCATCCACTTCCCTTTTCCCTGCCATCCCTTTTCCCTGCCAACTGCGTCACATCTGCTTTTCACCTTTTCTGTTCTGTTCAACGGAGATCAGCAGATCAGTCTCAAACAAAGTGTGAGGAGAGCTCATTCCATCTCAGCTGTGAGCGGTGCCTTTGCGAACAGGGTGGTTGTGAACAGAGGGAATTCCTGCAGCAGCTTCTGGAAAGGTCACAGTGCACTACAGCATGCTTTGTATTGTACATCCTTTTGAGTGAGACATTGCAGAAGAGCAAGACTGTGTGTACAAAGGCATCAGCAGAGGTTAGGTCAGTTAAATCTGGTACAAATACTGCTTTTGCTGAAGCATCTCTCTAAGGATGAGGATCCGGCAAGCAAAGTTGAGCACTTGCAGATGGCTGTGTCCTAAAAACACCCTGTGCTAAAGGAAACCAGTCTGCATGTGACCGGCAGGACACCAAAACTGTCTGCTGCAGCCTTCCAAATCTGTCATTTATTTCAAGGTTTGTAAATGTTTCAAACGAAAAAAACAAATCCACAACCAAAACACTGAAATTGTTCATCTTTTTGTGTTGCATTAGAAGCAGCAATTAAAAGAGGATTTGGAGCAACTGTGTTCAATTGTATTTAATTAGAGATGCCAAACTTTCAGATAATTGTTACATCTGTGGCACAAAGGGGGTTTATTAAGGGGGCAGAGCCACCATTTGTGGCCCATCTTGCTAATCACAGACCAAATCCTAATGAGGGTAGTTTTTATCCTTCCATAATTTGTGATGTGTTAACACCACCAACTGACTGAGGGAAGCGGCTCTGCTCCTCTGAGCAGCATGGGGTTCCCTGGCTGTGTGTGAACAGTGCCTTTTCCTCTTTCTTCTGATGATCCTCGGGTAGGGAAAGACAATGGGTACTCAGGTTTATGTTTGGTGCTGCAATACACCAAAAAGAGGTGTGTGTCTGTGTATATATATGTATTGTCTAAAGTGCTTAAATGCTTGTTATATGTTTCCATCAGTGTTTGATAAGTGGTTCATAGAAGTTTACCTAAATTGGAGGTAGGTCTTTAGACACTCTTCTTCTCCATACATTTTAAAGCAGCCAGTAAGAATTCTACCTGAGCTCTAGCTTGTCTGCTGTGGAGGATTGCATCCCAGGAAGCTCAGCAGCCCCAGCTTCTATTTGACAGAAGATCTGCTGAAGAGACTTACATTGGCTGCATCAATGAAGTGTGTTCTCTGCAGCATACATACACATGCACGTATATACCTACATCTCATCATTTAGGTTGGATATAAGGAGGAAATTCTTTCCTGTTAGGGTGGTGAGGCACTGGAATGGGTTGCCCAGGGAGGTTGTGAATGCTCCATCCCTGGCAGTGTTCAAGACCAGGTTGGACAAGGCCTTGGGTGATATGGTTTAGTGTGAGGTGTCCCTGCCCACGGCAGGGGGGTTGGAACTAGATGATCTAAAAGTCCTTTCCAACCCTAACTATTCTATGATTCTATCTCCTATGTGTAGATGCCTGCTTGCTCTTGCTTTCCCTACATTCAGCAGGCCCAGAGCACATGCCAAGATGAATGCTCACCCCTCCTTGCCACAGCTAATCCTAATCTCAAGCAGAGTTTTAACCTGAGCAATCACAGCAGCAGTGACGGGAGCAGGACACCATGCAAGCAGGCAGAAAGCTTCTCAGACCCTGAGAGGATCCTCCCGTTACGTATATTTCAGAATGAAGCAGGGCACAGATACACCTCCCCAAAAAACAACTTCCTGACAGGCACTGAAAGGAAAAGGGATTTCTAAAGGGTAGTTTCAGCTCTCCATGAATCACAGCACGTTTATAAACACATGGATCTGTTTAAAGGTGATGCATTATTTTTACTATAATAAAGGGGTTATAAATATTTAGCAATTAACAGCTACAGACTGTTTTCATTCCTTGATTCCTCTTTTAGCATAGTGGGGCAGTCATGGATCTGGAGCAATTGTGACCTAAATTCTTTCTGAAGACCTTTTGTGAGCTGATGTTCTGAATTTAGTGCCATTGCCTTAGCCTGGAGCAGCCTGGTTCCTGGGCTAAAGCCCTCTCAGCAATCTGACAACATGGTTCCCCTTTATTTGTGCCCCATCTGTGTGACTGAACAGGAAGCTGTTTTTTTTTTTTTTACAGACAAGTTCAGTTGAATGTACATAATGAATATTTTATTGGTGACACTGTGATCTGGTCACCTCCAGTTACCTCACATTGTTTTTCCTGGGCTCTTTTCATTCACTAGACATTCTTTCGTACCTGGGAGCTGTAAATGGATCAGTATCAGCAGCAGGCATGTTCCTACGTCCTAGGCAACCTTTACATCTGAATTTGGTGTTCTCACAGCTCCTGGAACAGCGCTCTCAGTCCACAGAATATGCTCCTGGTTCCATTATGGCATTGTTATTTAGAAAAGTTCACTTACACCCAAGTTTGCCAGTACTCCAGAAAACCAAAGGCTTCACCACAGAGATTCAGTACGAGACCATTAAAACCATCTTCCCTGCTGCAGTATCCTTTCCTGTGGGTGCAGAGGCATCACTGAGCTCACCTGCAGCTCCTTTCTCTTGCAGCACTGGGGATTTCTCCCTTGGAAACACAGTCACCATTGCCTCCCTCCCTCCTGCTGGCACAGTTCACCACTGACTTTTCTCCCAGGTCAACAGACTGGTTATTGTCTATTTCAGCAGCTTAAAGTGTTTATTTTTAGTCTTTAAGACTAGTAGTGGATTCTCACTGTCAAAAAATAAATGCTGAGCCACTTAATTCCTTTTTTGTTCTTGTTTGGCAGCTATCAGCTGTTGCTGATCCCTAAAGCAAATTTACCACCTTACAGAAATTATTAATTGGTTATTTCTTGAGTGACAGCTTGTGTAGTAGCAAACTGAAGTCCTCTTCCCAAGGATTACCCAATGTGCCAAATACTCAGGTAGAACGGCTGTGGTTCCTTTGAGAAGATCTACCTGCACAAAAAGAGCTTGTATCTTACTTCATATAACAAATAACCGTATCAGAACATCTTATGTTGAACAAATACTTTTATTTACAAGAGCATATGTGACAGTTTTACAATAAAAAAAATGGAACAAGTCTACTTTCAGTCTTCAGTCCAGTTTAGTCTCCAGCCTGGCTGATTTCTTAACTTGGCTTTCTAATTTGGAGACCAAGTTTGTGGCAAAACTGTAATAACCCAGTAACTTGGTACCAGCATCAGTGTTAAACCCACACAATACAGTTTAGTCTCTTCGTACATAGAAGATATTATATCCAAGTTCAACCATACCCCCGATAAGCAGGGCCCACAGAGGGATGAACACATAGGCCAGTTTCATGGTGGTGAATCGCTGCAGTTTAGCACAGAGGGCGAGGCAGAAGGCCAGTTTGAGCAGCATTGCAATGAGGTACCAGGCTTTCTTCTTGATGTTCTGGGAGCCGTTGCGAGGGTCGAAGCCAGACTTGCAGCGTCCGGCCATTTTCACAATGAGCATAACTAGAAGGATGGTATCGAATATCCAGACTGGAATAAAGATGAGGAACCAGTTCCACGGCGCTTTCTCATCCAGCTTTAGCACCAGCATGATCAGGAAGAGTAACGTAAAAAGCCATGTCAGTAGTACTCTTTGGGCCAGGGACATTCTCATTTAAACAGCTTTGAGAGGAAGTCTTTCACTGTCAGCAACCTAACAAAACAGAAGAGGAGGGATGCACCAAAAGATGGCACCACACAACCATCAGGCATATTCCTTAAAGGAGACTTAGGTTCTTGTTACTGTTTTCCCACTCCTAACCTCACCTACATTCTGCTCCCTAGCATTTCTTTCAGAACTACCATTCCCAGGGAAGCACTCTATTTTGGTCCTGTCCACCACTCAGTTTAAGTGCCCTAGGGCAGTTGTGTAAACTCCCTTCATCTGTTCTCTGAAACAACACTTTAATCCTAAACTAGCAGTCAAACTCATACAGTGGTTTCTGTAGGCTGAGAATATGCGTAGGTCCATTTCCCTCCAGTACTGAAGCACTCGTATCAAGTTAATGCTTGCAGATAAACCTAACAATTCTCTCTCTGTAATAAAATCATCACAGTGAAGCATAAACCAACTAACAAGCCCAAGTAACAACATCTGGAGCATCCCCTAGCCTGCAGAGCTGCAGTGACCACTTCCAGTCAAGCACCAATCTTAAACTACCAACAGCTACAGATCATGTTTGCCTTCCAGCAGGTATCTATCTGAAGCGTGCAGACACTGGCTGACAGGAAAACTATTCCATCTCATCAGCTTGGCATTATATGTACATTTCCAGGTAGGCACGATGGAAGAAAAACAAGATGGAATCTGTCTGCTGATACACAGTTCAACAGACCTACGTTTTTCTTTAGTCTGGAAATTCCTCTTAAGGAAAAGATCCCAGTTTAGACTAAAATAAACTAAACTGGAGTTACTGTCAGTAATCCCTTCCCTTGTGTGACCCAGAGCAAACCAGGTTTAAAATGGGGTTTTTGCTGTTTCCATTCTTGTGCATATCACCAAAGGGGCTGGTGGATGCCAGTTGCTGGCTGGATGGCACACAGACTCAGGGAAGGGGTGAATCTTTGCACTGACACTCATACGTAAGAGGTAACTGCCAAGAAGACAGAAAACTGGAGGAGGTTTAGACAGCATTGCTCTGCTCCCATGAGAGAAACACACCCAAACCAGCCAGTAGTGCAGAGGATTACAGAACAACTACCATGACCTGCCTGAAGCGCTGCCAGTATTGTGAAAACATTCCCAATATTCCCATGTCCAAGTCTGCAGCTAAAGTGGAGAGAGCAGTGATCTGCAATAGCTTCAACACTCCTTTCATGACAGCATTTCTGAAAACTACTTGTAGAAATCATTGGTACAGAGAGCACAAGGAGTATCTCTCATGAGCAACCTGGAGAAAGGGGAAACCAAAGAAGGAGCCTGCAAAATCCAGCCTGAAAGGAAAAACGGAATTCAACACCATTGGAAGTATCAGGTTATCAGATACACAAAGAAGTAAGTTGCTATCAGCTGTCCACGGAGCAAACAGAAAGCTACTGAAGGTGTACTGGATGGGGTGACTCAATTTGAAGGTTGCCCACTTGTTGAGAAGATTTTTGCGTTTCCCAGGTGTTCAGAACCACTTTTAGAATACGCAGACAGAAAATCTGGCATGGGATGTTCTGCTACCTTTCTCTGACCTAATTTAAGAGATGGAACTGAAGGACTGGGCAGCACTGCGAGACTCCATTCAATTTCAGTGGCTTCTTTTTGGATGAAAACCTCAACAACATCCAAGTGTACTCTTGAGATCCTACAGTCCAAGTAAAGGAAGGTACCAAATTTTAAAGGCTGACAGCTGGGGGCACATCTGACAGTAACAAAGGGCTCCATTACATGGAGCACTGCAATCTCCTTAGGAAAGGAGGTTATCAGCAGACTCTCAGCTAAAGGCCAGCTATCACAAGACAGTTAATGCTGGCAAAAGGATGTAGATACGGTGCAAGCCTGAACTGTCTCTTCTGTGAAAACAGTGAAGGAAATGTCAAAGGCAGAGTGTAAAAATAAAACCCTTCTCAACTCCTCACAGGACTCAGTAATCAGTAGGATGTGAAAGTTTTCAGTAAGGAGAAACCGTATCTAAGCAGCATTACTGACCTTGGCAGGGTGATCTACATAATGAGAATATGATGATAGCTAATCCTAGCCTGTTGGGGGGGGGGGGGGGGGGGGACACAAAGAAACTTACATACATGACATTCAGCTCAGTATTAATGATAAACAGATCTAGGAATTTAATCCTTGTACATTGCTAACAAGGTTCAGAAAAATTATATTATACTGAAACCAAATTAAATAGGACTTTAGCTTAAATGCCACTGTGAAACCCATTCAGCAGGTATGAGTAATTTAACACCTAGAAAGAAACATCTCCGTTTTAAAACTACATTTCAAATAGTTTGATGTGAATACAGGTTAGGTGTTCACAAGTCCTCCTCTCAACTGGAGCATTCTTAGTTGAACTAAGTCTTAGTGTATGCAGATTTAAAAGTGTACATAAACTCACACTACAACATCGCGGTAACCGGAGTGCTGTTTTACTCCTTTTAAGTAAAACAGAGACTCCGAGTTCTATATTTAGCTGAAAACAAACAAACCCCTCCCAAACACTCATGAACTATCCGGAAGAACCGAGGAGGAAACGGGCAAACCAGCGGCGGGTGCCGGGCTAAGCAAAGCCAGCGGCAGAAGCTCAGCAGCCCCTCGCGGTGCTCCGAAGCCAGCACTGCCTGATCCAGCCGCGGCCGCCCGGTCGCTGCCCTCGGCCACCGCCGTCTGCCGCAGCTGGGGGTATTCCTTGGCCCGGGAAGCCGGGCCGGCCCCGCGGGGCTGGGGCTCGAGCTGCTGCGGGACAAGGGCAGGCCAGGCCGGGCCGGGCTCGGAGCCCCGCAGCCGGGTGGGGACCGCCCGCCTCTCCCGCCCTTCCTCAGTCCCCCGGCTTCCTCCGCACCGCACTCCGGCCCTCCTTGCCGGCCCGGCCGCCTTCTCCGGCCGCTTCCTCGGCCGAGCCGGTTTTCTCCCTAGCCCCCTGCCCCGCCATGGCAGAGGCCCTGCCGCCTCAGGAGCAAGGGCGCGGTACAGAAACCCGAAGCGGAGCCCCCTACGCCCCCAGCCGCCACCTACCGCCTGCCCCCGCCGCCGCCTCCCACGCAGGGTCTAGGTGCATTCCCCTCCGGCGCGGGTACGCACATCCAGCACAGGTGAGAGGCGGCCGGGCTGCCTCAGGAACCCGCCCACCTTCCTTCCTTCCCCACCGCCCCGGGGCTCTGATTGGACAGTAGGGACTTACGTCATACCGCGCCCGGGAGCCATTGGGTAGCGGTGACGTCGCTCACAGTAATCCCCGCCCCCCTCAGCTATTCGGTAGCGGTGACGCCCGTCAAGGCCCGGCAGCCCTCATGGCGAATGGCGGTTGGGCCTGGCGCTCGCGTCCCTTTGCCGCCAATTCGAACAGCAGGCTGCCAGTCACACTGGCCCCGCCTCCCGTCCGTCGACAGCAGAGCCCCACCTCCCTCCCTGTCTGACTGGGCAGCGCCGCCGTCAGTCAGGTCTCAACCCCACCTTCGCGAGGCGAGCAGCGTCCTATTGGCTGCGGCCTGCTTGTGGCCCCGCCCTCTGCTCGGTGGCGCGCACCCTGGCGGGTGGCGCGCTGTTGCTGCAGCTGCCGCCGCGCGGGCGTGCGCGTTCTCTTCATCCTCCTCCCCCCCCCCCCGCCCCGCCCCACTCCGCCTCCCGCTCCCCCCTCCTCCCTCCTCCCACCCAGCTGTTGCCTCGCGCGCTCCCGCCGCCTCGCGCTCCTCTCGCCGCCGTTGTGTGCGGCGCGCGCTGGCCCGCTCCTCCGCGGCACCGGGCTGCCGGTAAGGTCGGGACCCGGCGGGAGGGGAGAGGGGGTTTGGCGGGAGGAGCGGGGCTGAGGCTGGGAGGCGGCCGGGGTGAGGCGAGGTGCCGGAGCCGGTGCCGGAGCCGGTGGCCGCTCGGCGGGGGCTGACAGGGGGCGGCCGGCGGGCCCGAAAGAACATCAAGGGGTGGCGGAGCGCGCTCTGCCGCGGCTCTCCTCGCGCGGTGAGAGCGGCTCCGCTGTCCGCCCGCGCGCCGCCGCTGCCGCGCCGGGGCCTCCCGCCCCCCCGGGGCAGCCTGGCCGAGGGAAGGGCGGGAGGCCCGCGGCCTCCTTGCGCCAGGTGCCCTCCAGCGGGAGCAGGCGCGGGGTCTCCGCGGGCCCCCGTGAGCCCTCGGCCACCGGCCCGCTGGTTGCCGCGTTCATTGTGACGGTAGGCGCTGGGCTGCTGGCCCGTGCCGTGCGTGTCGGTGCTCCTTGCCACGGCGGGCTTGTGCTGCTGCAGCACACCTTTTCCGTGTTAAGTTGCTCTGGTACATCTTGAGCTGGTCCGTTGCCTGTGTCAGGTGACAGAACGCTTTTTCTCCTTTACTTTAAAGGTCCTAAATTTCGGCATCTTCACCTTTATATTTGACCTCGTCTCCTAATTCTGTTTTACACATCTTTTGGTGCTTTCTTCCTTAGCCCTTATCCCATCTTTTTCCCCTTTCCACCCTGAGTCAGTGACAACCTGTCTACAGCATATGTGCTGTCCTTAGTTTGGGTATCTGAACGTTAGGCTAGTTTCTTCTGTCATATTCATTTCCCCAGTGTTTTATTTGCTGTTCTTTCTGTGGGTAACAAAGGAGACAGCGGAGGGGAAAAATGATTATGCAGTAGTCGAACTAGCCAGATGTTTGCTTCTTTTACCTTTGTTTTTCATTCATACTCCCCAAGTGCATGTGGCTCAGGTGTGTTGGACTCAGTGAGTTTTAGTCCACATTCTCAAGCTCTCTGCTTGGTGTTTTGTCTTTCACTGCTTTTACATGCTGTTGGTCACTTTCAAGACTCAGCAACATGACTCTTCCTCTTGTTCAAAATTTGCCAGTGCCTTATCCATCTGTCATATAATTAACTGGAAAAAGTAATTAATTGGAAAACCTGACTTGTTGAAAGCACTGTAATTAAGGATCTGAAGCTCTTTCTGATGAAACGTTCCTGCAGAAAATACAGCTGGTTTTACAGTTTTGACACAAGTTCTGTAATAGGAATGGGACTAAGTACAGCAACTCGCCCATGTACATCTTCCTGCCAGTGCTGTTAAACAGATGGTGGATTCTGCTTTATCAGGAGGAAGTCCATCACTTGAAATAACCTGTTAATCCCAGTAAGTGAATCCTAATATCTTTAGCTGCACTTAGAGCCGTCACGAAGTGGCAGAAGGGTATATTTCTGTTCTATACATTAGCGCTTGGCATGAGGCATTTTGTTTTCCTGGGGCTGGCTAGAGGCTGAAAGTGTTCTGGGAATAAGTCGCTGGGTTATAAATAGCTGTATGCATTTGGCTATTTCTGGAGCTCCAAAGGTTTTTGTGATCTTCTTTGATTTGCCCCTTTATCTGTGACTCCCTAGAAAGGATAGTCCTTTTCTCAGAAGCCTTATTTTTGTTCCAGCACGGTGTTTATGAGCCGATGTCTGCACACACATCATTCTTCTTCATACAGCTTCAAAGGTTGGATTTTAATGTTTTTTCCCCAGAGTTCTACTTTACAGTATTTGCAAGCGATTTTCATTTGTGAAGGTGAAGGTTGAGAGCAATGCTTGGAACTGGTGTGTTTGAGATCCTGATGCCT